CCCGACATACGTGCAATGCACACCTGGAAACAGCGCCCATAGCGCACATGCATACACATACATACATGCATATAAACATGCACGAAAAGATACGCTTCTGGCCGACCTCCACACATGCGTTCGTCGCACAGCCCCCTCGCGCCGTGACGTATTCTTTGTAAGACGGGACGAAACGCGGCACCACCACAGCCCCCCGTGATATGACATCACATGTCGACCAGCATGCGGGGGTCACAAACGCACACATACATACATACACACATTCCATACATACATACGCACACGTGCACACACACGTACCCTTCCCCTTCCCGGCCCCCCGCCGGGTTAGGGACGCCATCCGCGGATGTGCCGCGCTGCGACGTGAGCTTGTGAACGTGTGGTCATCCGCAACAGCGGGTGGGGCCCATCACCAAAACATTCGACACGATGAGCCGATCACCGGCCCCTTCGGAGTTATGCCCCCGACTATCAATAATAGTAATGATGCGCAACAATATAAACGCTTCAAAATCAAGGAAGCCATGCAAACAAGCCCGGAGAAACTAGAGCATACACACATACGCACACATGCCCTTAAGACGTGAAGGCACAAACCACAGCAGCTACGGCAAGAACAGCACCAACAATAACATGCGCGAACCAGCTGCAGCGGTAACGGCAGCAACGGCATGGAGAAGGAAAAGACAGCGGCAAGACAGGACAGTCAACAACTACACGTACGGGACAGATGAACAACTAACTAACCGACATTAACCAACCACAACCGAATCCACGTGGATTGGATTTTCCCCCCTGTAGGACCCGTCGGTCCCCTTCCAGAGCGCCTCCGAAACCAGCAAAACCTCCTCTCCCCAACCACGCAGATCTCTCCAACCCCCATACGGAAAAATAGGGGGGAGAAGCTGAAACCGCCGGCTCCTTCGAGTGGAGCAGAAAAAAAACGTGACCTCCAGATGCCGTGCATAATGACAGTCCCTGGTGAATATCATGGACTTTGCTCAACTGGGATTTTGGCCCCACCCCACCACCACCATCATCATCATCATCATCATCATCATCATCATCATCATCATCACCAACACCAACACCATCATCGCGACTGTCGGCATCGAACTCCGCCAAGAGGAGATGGTTTCCCCGGGCCCCCCCCGCCGGGGTGACGGGGTCCCGGGGGAAGGAACAAATAACCCGAGGACGCTTGATGGGGCCACACAGCCAAACAGTTCCTTAAAACACACGTACACACTTACATACACACGTAAGCTGCACGTAGGCGCGCGGTTCAGTTCGACACAACACACGCACAAGGTGTCAGGCCCCTCCTGCGCACCTGGGTGCCGAAAGACATACATACAGTAGCACCACGAACATTGCGATATCCGCAAGCAGACAAATACGGGGGTTCAGACCCACCTCCCGTCAGAAAGAAAGGAACGCGCTTTCAGGCGGGGCCCCAAAAGCTACGATTAGAGACAGACAGACAGAAAACAGACAGTCGTCCCCGCCAAAGCATCCGTTACAAGAACAAACAGAACCAACAACAATAACCGCAATAACCGCTTCCACATCTTCCAAGAGCTCTGGTGGGACCGGGCGCCCCCCACACACCCTCCGGTGATCCGCATCCAGTTCATAACGTCATACACAAGTTCTGAACTTTGGCGTCACCTTTAGCGACCTAACACTGGAAGGGAAACCACACAAGGGAGGGCTACTCGAGAGGGCAAAAGACCGCTGCACCGGACAAGAGGAAAGAGGCACCCCCAGGAGATGGAGAGGAGCTCTCCCCCCCCCTGGGGGGGAAGAGATCCATTCATTGGGTGTTATTGTTCATCGGTACTCTTGACATTTGTTGCTCTCTTTGCATATTGAATTGTTCGTTTGTAACATTATCTGTTTCTTTGTTTGTTTGTTTGTCAGTTTGTTTGTTTGTTCATACAATACCAGGAGCTCTCCAACGGCCCCCTCAATCCGCCGCCAGAAGGCGCTGCGCTGCGCAGGCCGGGACCGCCACCCCCTCCCCATTCCCACCGCCTCCTACCCCCTCCACCCTCTGGACAACCGCAGTCAGACCGTCTCCCTAGCAGTCAGCCGTCGCCCTTCTGGTGGGTCCCTTTTCCTCCGTCACACACCCCCTCGTAGCCCCCTAGCCTCCTCTCCCTCCACCGCCTCCTTCCGCAGCGGGGGCCAACGAGACCACAAGGACGACCCACCAAATCCCCTGACCCACAGCGTCAACACTTCCAACACGCACCCACACACACACCCCAGGACGTACATACATGCATACACACATACATCTGCGCACATCCTCATCACGCCGCGACAACCATCGCAGTACCGCTACTAAGCGCCGGTACGACAGCCGTTGATGATCCACCGCCGCCGCCAGTGCCCATAGGGCCCGTCATCGCCGACATGGCTCCTCCTCCTCCCCCTCCTCCTCCGCCGCTGTCACCGCCGTGCAATGATGTGGCGGTCGTCTGCGTCAGGGTGGTGGCGGCGGGTGCGGGTCTCCCGCTCTCCGGCTCGCTGCGCTTGGTGCCCACGGTGCGGCTGTCCGAGTCGCGGCCCTCGCTCGAAGTGGCGTCCTTGCGTCGCAACATGCGGTACTTCTGCAGGTGGCTGGCCACATTCTCCCGGGTCAGGCCGTCGATGTTCATCTCCTGACGGGATGTAGGACCGATTACAACGTGAGGCGGTTACCGTGGGAGGGGAAAGGTGGGGGGTAGGGGTGGGATACAAGCAAGGGGGGGAAGCAACGAATCAGCTGCCGAGGCCTAAAGCGGGGTAGATGGATGGGCCATATCTATCGATGATGACGGGGGAGAGGGGGAGAGGGCCAAGGGGGCTGGGAAAGGGGGAAATCATGTACGTTACACAATATCTCGGAGTTGGGTGGGGGTTAGGGGGGAAAAGATGAACCACGAACGAGTGACGCAGCTGCCAGGGCAAGAGTGTACCAGACGTAGAACTGACCCAAGGGGGGGTGGGTAGGCCAGAAGAAGGAGCCACCACCACCACAACAACAATAATAACAACAACAACAACAACAAGTGAGGGGAAAACTACGGCCGGCTCGTTAGACAGGTCGCCGCGTGCACTGAGGAGCACACTGGAGCGAACGAGAGGCTGGCGGTTTGAAAGAGTTCGAAAAAGAAGGGAAAAAACGAACAGCAACAACTTCAGGGGCTTCTACACACATCTTCAAAGGGTTTTGAGAAACGAAGTGACCGGCGGACCCTCGCCCCTGTACACACACAACGCGGCTGTGCTCCGCTTCGATGCTTTTTGACAACTGAAACCCCCCACCCAGGAGCCGCCCAGGCGCCTGCAAAGGCTTCTTCCCCACGCTTCTCCCCTCCACTCGCTCACTCTCACACGCACCCGCAACGCATACACACACATACAGACATACATACAGACACACATACAGACACACATACAGACACACATACAGACACACATACAGACACACATACAGACATACATACAGACACACCTGCATGATGTTCTTGGGCACCGCTTTCTCCGTCCCCAACTTTTGCACCGCACTCTCAAACTTCTTGTGAAGCTGCGGAGTCCACACTAGCCGGGGGCGCTTGATGGCGCGTGTCGAGCCGTCATCTGCGTACTCTTCCTGCTCGCCCAGAGACTGCGAGGGCTGTAGACTGGAGGAGGGAACAGATGACGGGTTCATCAGGGCCGCCGCCGCCGCCACGGGCCGGTAGGCCGCTGCTGCCGCTGCCGCCGCCGCTGCAGCCGAGTAGTCTAGGGGAGCTGCCGCTCCGTAACCAGGATGGTAAGCGCCACCGTACGGTACTGAGCACGGAACATACGGGCGTACGGCAGTTCAGGACACGAGAAAAAAATATAAGCAAGCAGTCGGTTGACGGATTCTTTTGCACCTTAGCTGCACTAGGATAAAAACCGTTATTAAAGACAAGCGAAAAAGTACTGCATGATGTAGATAAGACGCCATTCATGACGAAGTTTATTTTGTTGGTTTGTCGCAGAGAAGAGAAATCGGATGCGCCAGAGCGCACTCAGGAGCGCTCAAAGGGAAATGGCTGCCTTTGGGGAGCCGCCGGGGGACAGGGGTTCGAGGAGGAAGAGGGGGTTGAGGGGGAGGGCGGTTTGTCCGCAGGTGCGCACCTGTGGAGGGCGCCTGGGGGTATCCGTATGCTCCCGTTGCAGCGGCAGCAGCTGCAGCCGCGGCGGCTACAGCAGCCGCATTTGCATCCGGTGGTCGAGCATAATATGCTGAATGGACGGCGTAGGGTGCCACCGCGGCCGCGAAGCCTGAGTTTTGGCCGTAGGCGGAATGTGGCTGCGTGAATGCACTATATAAATTTTGCATCATGAGCGGATTTGGAAAAGGGACCGAGGCAACTGGTCGTATGGCTGCGCCAAGGTTGGGCTTGGGGCCCGACGAAGCCGTTGCGGTCGCATTAGTCGTTAATCTGTCCTGCTGCTCGGACGACGAGGGTCGCCTTGCCAAGCCGTCCTGAGAAGCTGCTGGCATCAACGGAATTGACACTGCCGAAGATGTTGCTGGCGCTGCTCGACTTGCAGCGGCAAGAGCTGCGGTGTGAGCATGAAGTGCGCCTGCGGTTTGCGCCAAGAGAGCGGCCGTGGATTGCTGCTGTTGTTGCTGTTGCTGGTGGTGATGGTGTTGGCTGGCTGCCGCTAAAGCTTGCAGATAGCCAATAGGAAGTCCAGCCAGAGGCGACGGCTGTTGAATTGCCGTTGTGAATTGGGCACCGCCGAAACCGAAAGCGCCCATAACAGCCGGGTTCACCATCGAACCATAAACATTTTGAGCGTGGTGTGTTGGTGGTGCCAGGGTCGGTTGTGGCTGGGCGATAGAAGCGCTCCCCAGAGTTGGAAGCCCAAATGCTTGAGCAACCAAAGGGGAAATTAGGGACGTTGTCAGAGGAACCAGCCCCGCGGCCGGGTCCAAAGCAACATCCTCCTTAATCCCATAGAAGCCCTGTAAGGCCTGGACTGCGTCGTAGGCCATCGCGCGCAGGCGCGCGCCGAACGGAAAACTTCGGACCTAAGGTTCTAGACTTGTGGGCTCAAAGAGCCTTGAGATTTGCAAGTTCGTTGCTTCGCTTCGAATAGAAAATTGGCTTGTGTCCTGCCCAGTATCTGGATTTCCGTTTGCAAATATTTGCCCGATTGCAGCCTGTACGGCATGAGAAAATTTCCAGCTCAGAAAGAACAATCACGTTCAGCATAGCACTGAAACTGCACATTGAGGTCCTGCTGTGACTTGCTTTTATCTTTTTCCACGATATATCCTTTGTCGTCCATCTCGCGAATACACAAAGTATCTTAAGGAAACTTGACTATCTCGTTATCCTGACAACACCAGTCGTCAGGAAATCATTTGTTAAGCACACATCCTTCCTTAGAGCTCCTGTGATCAGCGAATTAGAATGCCAATCTGGCAGCGTACGGCGCGAAATCTTCTCTTAACGGTATTGCAATCATCGTTGGACAATCAAATTCCATCCGCTACCTAGCACGATGTGCTAGACCAGAGGCGAATATGGTTATCTGGGTACCGTGTTAAGCTTCTCCACGCAAGGCTCGGGAGACGACAATTTGGCAATCAGTACAGCGTGCAAGGTTACGCAACGCCCAGTCCGCCCTGGCTCAGTCCCAGCACAGCACCGTTACTTGGAGCAGCGCCTTGCATTTTTCTTAACCGATATATGGTGTTTGGAGCTGCCTGCTAGATAAGGCCACATCGTTTGCTGATGCCACCCTGTCAACGCGCGGTCCATGACCAAGTTAAGGCCTCCACCTTGTGCGCATGGATTGTCATAATTTGGCAAGAGCATCTTTGCATTGCTTTCCTCCTTTGAAACGAAGAGCCTATTACTGACCACCTTGAACACCACCTCGGTTCATTAACATCTTTTACTTCAAAGGCCGCTGCCTGACCGAGCTGTCCCAGCTTGTGCCCTCCTCATGAGTCCTGAGGGAGAAGCACAGCGGGTTTCACGATGCCCTGGGACAAACCAATGTCCCAACACACCACAGGAGCCATAACCTCCTTGCCGCCTACAGCGTTCCATAACGGCTGTTGTGGACTTACTTATCTTCCTTCAACCCTTTTGCTAAATAGAACGCACGGCCTATCATAAACTTTCCTTTCGACCATTTCCTATACCGGCCCCGGTAAGCAACAGGGAGTCCACATGCGAAATATAAACATTGGAGTCTGCAATTTTCCTTCCCCACACCTCGGCCCGGCCTCAATGATATGCACGGCTGCCTTACCCTACTCACAGTGGTCCGCCTTAGCTTTACAGAAACTCACCCCTCTAGCGCACGACCGCAACGTTAGCTGCCGCGCCAACGATAGCGGACTTCAACATCACAGGGCATTGTGTCCCGCCACAAGTTTTCGGTGGGAAGGGGGCACACCCTTCTCCCCGGCAACACGGCCTTGCCCTTGTCCGATAAGTCGCGATTTACCCTTTTCTTTTCCCCAACTCTCCCATCTCCAGGGCCAGCACTGCACTACACTGCACTGCATTAAACCCCCAAGGAGCCCGCTGACCCCGAGGTGTGCTTCTTCACCCCTCCCCCGATGCCCAGTGTGCAACTTCTCCCACACACAAGATCCCAAGTCGTTGCCGATTGGTTGTGATGCCGGCAGCCCCGACCGACATTGCCCCCTTTCCCCCCTTTTCCCCCCCTCGCAACCCACGGGCACACGAAGAAAACAATTAAGCTGGACACAACAACCTACAGCCCCAAGAACCCCCTGCCGCCATGTCTCTCAAGTTTTTCCCTCTCAACTCTTTCTCTCCTCATCACTCCGCTTCTCTCTCCGACCCCCAGCTTCCAGTGTCCCTCCCCCACCGCCGCAATAAAAGCAACAACACCGAGCAACACCGCTGCGTTGTGACGTACCCTGCGAGATTTTCGTACTACTCCGTACTATAATGGATGAAACACCTACATGCATACACACATATCGGTCACACAAACACACGGACTCTTTTGCGAGCAACGCCGGGATCTAGCCGCCTCCGTTCTCTTGCCAACGCTCAAGTGGCAGGCAACAACAAAATAAAGTTCGCGGTTCCTTCACCCGCACCACTATCACCACCACCACCACTACCACCACTATCACCACCACTATCACCAACAAAACGCACAGCACACAAAACACCATGGACAAAACGCGACGTTGAGGCGCCCGGGAGGGCCCCCGCGGTGTGGACGCAACACGCGCCCCCCACATCCCCGTACACCCCTCTCACCGCCCACCCTCCGCTGCAGCCCCTTCCTCTTTCTTTCCAATAGAAGCAACCGACCAACTAACCACACCTCCGCATGTGTTCACACATACACAAGAGCCCGTGAGATGCCCCGCGCGCGCGCACATGTGTGTGTGTGTGTGCCTCTGGTAACGGCCGTTCAATAACCCCCATTCCCTGCCCTGATCTGCCCTGCCCCTCCTGCCCTCCCTTCTCTGCCGCTTCGAGAGTAACACGGCCCACCCTGGGAACGACCATCAACACGAACACAATCCCTGATGGCCATATGACCATAACATAAATAAAACACATACACGGCTGGCTGCGTTTTCAGCTTCACGGGGCCCTGCTTGCTAAAATACACACACCCATACACATCCACACACATCCATGCACGTACATACATACATACATGGCTCCAGGTAGTTCACCTTCAATAAGGAAGTTCGCAAAGCACTGCCAGCATCAAAAGGACACAACAGGATTTCCAAGTTTCCCCCTACCCCACCCAACTCACACTCACGTCCTCAACCCAACAGCGGCGGTGGCGGAGGCGGTGGTGGCGGCGGTGGCGGCGGTGGCGGCAGCCCATGCGCCCCAGGACCCCCTCCTCCTCCTCCTCCCCCTCCTTCCCCCCTTCCCACCCGCTGTCCGGCGTGTTTCTTGACGTACTGCTCGACCAGGTGGCAGATCTTCTCCCGGCGTTTGGAGCCCAGCAGATCGCGACGGCCGTCACCCCCACCCCCACCACTGCCACCCACCCCTCCCCCACTGCCGCTGTGACTGTGGCTTGCGGAAGCCTCTGTCAGCGTTTCAAACACCTTGTTTGAGGCCTTATCCAGGATGAGCCTGAACTCGCTGGAGCTGATGGTACCGGCCTTGTGGTGGCGCTGCGGGGGGAAGGGAAGGGGGGGAGGGGGAGGAATAGGCGGAGAGGTGTGGGTGTGGGTGTGTGGTAGGAGGGGGGAGGGAGTTGTGCGGGTACGGTGGTGAGTGGATGCGGCAGTATTGTGGGAAGAATGAAAACAGAGGATGATGGTCGTGATTGTGGATGTGGATGTGATATTGTACTTATGGTGCTTGTGGTGGTGGCGGTGGTGGTGGCGGATAAGAATGTAAAAGGAGCGATTGTGGGGTCGGGATCAGTCCCACCTCCCTCCTCCTCCGTCCCTTCCCCCATTCGGCGCAGTCTCTCCCTCGCCAACCCCCCCCCCACACACACTCGCTCTTCACTTTTCGTGGTTTGTCTTTCCCCCCCCCAACAACACCCACCCCAACCCCAACCAGCTCCCAGCTCACAACCCGTACCTTCAGTTGTTGCTTTATA